GGGTTTGAACCGCCAGCCTTCTGGTTAGCAGTCAAGTGCCTTAGCCACTATGCTACCAGAGCTCCTATATATATATTTCTTGGACATTAAGAAATAACATTTTGGAAAATTATATGTATATTGGTTGTTATATTTGAATATAAAACAAGCCAACTGAGTTCTGGGAAGGAATGTGTCCGAGTCATCCCTGTAGTAGACAGCTCTCTAAGTGTGGTTAGGGCATTTGCAGGAAGCAAACCTTGAGGGGTATTTTGGCTCAGTGTGCCAAAATGTAAGTTGGCTCTAGCTAAATCCTCAGCAGTAGTGACATTTCATTTTGCACTTCAAAAAGTCAAAAAGTTATAGAAACCTAATACAGTTCCTCAAGCCATCCTGATACTTGGGCTTCCCCCCCCGCCCCCAGTGATATGCCCCTTGAGAATCATAATCTCAAAGTCATAAAACTTTGTTTCCTTTATTAATCCAAGTCAATGTGGCTCAAAGTACATAAAATGTTTTATGTCTTTTTATGGATGTTAGGCACATAGAGTAAATTCATTTGTGGAGCTGTGAGTAGATTTCACGAAGAGCTTGGTGTACCCGTAGCAGCTCTGTTTTTTCCTTAAAATCTGCACTGACCTTACACTACAGGTGAGGCAGCAGTCCTATAAAGGGAACTCAATTGCCTGCCTAGAGAGGTATTAACTATATAAGAAAACAGTTTCAATTTTCCTAAAATAGTTCATGCACAGAAGCATCAAAACAAGTAAAGGCTAAAAAGTAATACTATCTGCAGTAAGCTGCCTTTGTCAGAATTTTATTTTCCATTTATATGCAAATATGAAAAGAGTTAGCACTCAGCTTCAGGTGTTAATAGCCTTAGATGAAGATGTGAAAATAAGAGGGGGGACAATTACCCCAAGAGCCATCTTATGTTTTCCAGGTATAAAAGATTGTCAATAAGTTTATTCTGCCTTTATAGTCTTCAGTGTCCCCAGAGAGGGTATAGCCCCTACTTCTTGTGGGAAAATATAACTCTTTGTCAGTTATCCTGTCTCCCTTTTCCTTCATTCTGAGTTTTGCAGCATTCTCTGTACTGAAGAGTTCTTTCCTGTTTGGAGTTGTCAGTATTAATGTCTTCTTAGCACCAAAACCAAGCATTTGTTAGGACTTTTTTGTTTGAGATTGAAATATTTCAAATTTTTTAATATTCTTATTTTTTCTTATTTTTTAAGGGTGAAGAACTATGGTTTTAGAGAAGTGAGTCACAACCACAGACAATTTTTTCCCCAGGGGACATGTGATAGTATCTGGGGAGAAGCTTGGTTATCATACTTGGGAGGGTACTTATGACAAGTGAGTGGAGGCCAGGGCTGTTGCTGAACATCATACAATGCATAGGATAGCCCCATGACAAAGAAATTAACTGGCCTCAAATGTCATTAATGCTGAGAATGACAAACTCTACTTTGGAGAACAGTTTTTTTTTTTTTTTTTTAAGAGAAACTTTGTAAACTTTCTACTGCATTCTATTTCCAATACTTTGATTGGAAAACTAGAGGAAACAAGAGTTTGAACAATGGGTTTTCTCTGATCTTCCTCTCCTTCACCCTCTAGTTCTGTTGAGTATTTTCCTGAAATGGCTCTCCAATCAATACTTTGGTCTGGCCACTGATAGAGATTATCCCTATCCTTTTTTGCTCACAGTGTTGTAATAATAATAACAGAATTAATAGCTACCACTCCCCCTCTGTCAGTTAATCATACCGTGGTGGCTTGTGTATTGACGCTGGAAGCTATGCCACCATATGACAAGTAACAGCAAAGTCACTCATGATGGATAGACTTCAGCAAACATTCCAGACTAAATAGTCTAGGAAGGAGAGCCTGGTGATCATCTTCTGAAAATTAGCCAATGAAAACCCTATAGATCACAATAGAATATTGTAATATTACCCTGGACCACTTCACTTCCACCATGTCCCAAAGCACCATGAAAGTCTGTGGGTAACAGAAGTAGTAATACAGTCCTGCACAGCAGATAAATTAAAACAGACTATGTATGTGTATACCATCCTGGTCCTCTCGTAAATGATACAAAATAAAGAGTGCAAACATCTTGGGATAGTCTTTCACTCCAATCACCAAATAGGTCATGCCTTCTTCTTCTACTTTTCCTTATAAACTCCCGCTCATCTTTCCAGGTACAACTGAGATGGTGCCTTCAACCTCAACTCTTATGTCCCTTTACTCCTATAGCCAGAGCTCGCTCGAAGTACTTAGCAATCTTGTATTCTTCCAGAATCAAAATAGCAATGACCCCTCCACACGCAAGAAGCATAATCATTCTGATGGAAAGTAGATCTGAAAGTATCTTAATGTCCACCTTTTAGTGTAGATAGACTCCGAAATGAGCTGCCCACATGGAGTGAAAAAACAAACCAAACTCACTGCCGTCAAGTCGGACCCGACTCATACTGACCCCTCCTTGGATTTCCAAGGTGTTTTCACTACAGACGTAGATTGCCCAACCTTCCTTCCGAGGAGTGGTTGGTGGGTTTGACCCGCCAGCCTTCTGGTTAGCAGTCAGATGCCTTAGGCACTATGCCACCAGAGCTCCCATATAGAGTGAGCCACCTCAAATAAGATGCTTTTGGAAGTTACATCCTACAATGTAAACTGATACTTGGCTGTAAATACCTTTATAAAGTGAAAAGTGTAAGAGCTAGAACTCAATAGGACTGCCTTCTTCCTGGTCTCACTAGTTTCTGCCTTCTTTCCTTTAATCATTTTTGTGGGAAATATTTGAGTTTCCTTTCTTTGGCAGATTTCTGCCTTACACAGATCCCAGCCTTTGCAGGTTTCAGCATATTTCCTGGTTATTACATAGATTTACAACTGAAGGGGACAGGTACTATTATTTTCATTTTGCAGGCCCTGCTGTCTTCACCTTTCATTGCTCCAACCAGAGCGATCCTTCTAACATTAAATCTGGCCAAGCATTCCTTGTTCCATCTTTGCCCCTTACTCAGAGAAAAGCCAAACTCCTTGTGCTGGCCCTCCACCCTCCCAGTACTATCATGAACATGGCACAGGACTGCACAACGTTTTGTTCTTTTAATACATAAGTTCACTATTAGTTACAGCCAACCTGAGGTCAACTTACAAGAACAAAATATAACCACCTCTGTACTCCAGTATTTCTGTTCTCCATTACACAGCACATACTACCTTCTGACATATCGTTTAGTTGTTTGTCCAACTATTTCCTAGAACAGGGGTCAGCAAACTAAGGTACAAGGGCCAAATCCTACCCCTGGCCTGCTTTTGTATAACCTGTGAGCTAAGAATGCATTTTACATTTTTAAATGGTTGAAGAAAAGTCCAAAGGAGAATAATCTTTCATGATACATGCAAATTATATGAAATTCAAGTTTCTGGGTCCATTGAGAAAGTTTTCTTGGAACATAGCCATGTCATTTCAGTTACACATAGTCTAGGGTGCTTTCATACCAAAATGGTGCAACTGAGTAACTATAACCCAGACTATATGGCCTGCAAAACTGAAAATATTAACTCTCTGGCTCTTTACAAACCAAGTTTGCCATACCATGTTCTAGAATGTGGCTCCAGGAGGAGCTAACTGGTTATATATACTCAGTACAAATATAATAGCAGTTATATTGTAGAATATGTAAATAAAGATCATATGTCAATTGATAGCAAAGCTTACGTTTGAATAAATATGAGATTAACTTTAAACATGAGTCATGATCTTAAGTGTTATGCTATCAAATAATTTACTTTCAAATATTTCCACTCAATAGACATTTTTATGTTTTGTTGTTTGCTAACTGAGCTGGTAAATTGACCATCTAACCTGTAATGATCAAAATATAGAAGTGGCTCTTCTATTTCCTTGAACTAAAAAAAAAAATAATAATAACAGGCAAATACTCTGATTTTAATCAACATTGATTGGGGAAATTTGTAGAGACATTAACAAAGCATGCTCAGTATGCATGAATTAACTCAATGAGTGATATGTGTACATAATCTAATGGGATTTGTATAACCCACAAAATAGCAAGCAAGGGCACAGAATCCCATGATACAGAAGTCTTTGTGCATGTTTTCTTTGCAACCTAAGGGCAAGCCATATAAAGATAAATGTGATCTAAACACTTGAGAGTTGGTTACAGGCAAAGGTACTAACTATCACTATATACAAATAACTCAGAGATGTTATTTGTGTATAGTGACAGTTTTCTTACTAGCAGGGAAACCAGTTGATCACCAAGCCTCTCTTCTGAGGCATGTTTCACTGAACTCCAGCCACCAACTTTTCAGTTAGCAGCCTAGTTCTTTCAGAGTCCCAGGAACTCTACTGAAAAATAAGCTACTGTAAACCCTATGAGCACAGTTCAATTCTGACACACAGGGGTTGCCAACAGTAAACTGACTCAATGGCAACTGGTTTGTGGGATTTTTGTTGTGAGGGGGCTGTTTAGTACCAGGAAGAGTTACCCTTGCTAACATGGAGTACTGAATGGTCACATATTTCATTTGCTTTAGGTAACACGGTAGCAAAGAGCAAGGAGCGTTTCATCCCTGAAAGGCAGCCAGGAGGTAGAGCTCTCCTGCTTCGATTATGCTCCTGGCCACTTCTCAAGAAACTGTCTTGGATTGCAGCAACGTCACATTTCCATGTGTGTCCTGTGAGAAGGGACCTTCACTTAACTGCTCCAGGCCTCTCTGCTTCATGATTTCCTTATGTGGAATTATAACCACTCAATTCACATCTTATGTGGATTCCAAAGCAACATGCATCTGCATCTCCAAGAAAACTGGAAGGAACAAATTGGAGACTTCAAAATGGAACACCAGTAAAGAGAAGATTGGTCTTTACTTTCTCTCTGCCTTTTCAAAGGAACATGGGCGTATGTTTGAAAGGGTTCTCATTCTGATCCTTGTATGAACTTTAACTACTAGGTTAAACTCATTTGAAGGGGGCTCAGTGAGGAAAGATATTAACCAAATATGTTTGCAGATGTGGATTAATCAACTCCAATTAACTGGTAAGGAAGATTTTATAAACCTCAAAGAATAGAAGGACTGATTTAAGATTATTATGTGTGCAACTGTAATATTGATTTTTATAATTTAAACTTTTTTTTTTTTTTAAAGTTTCATTGTCAGGGTAGCAGAAACACAATGGGGGATTTTACCTTCAGAGGACCATCTTAACAGGTGTTAAGGAAGTATGTCACTTCCAGTATTTTATAACCAAAGCCGTATCCTGACATATTTACAAAGGAAATAAAACCTCTTGGGATGTCTGTGGTTTATATATGTCACAAGATAAATTATTTAAAATGGTCTCTGTTTAGATCAAGAGTGATTTCTTAGATCAAGTTTATGTCAAAGATAATAAAATATTTTAGACAGGAGGCTTTAAATACTGAATTTTCAGTCGGTAAATGATTTCTTCAAAAGTAAGCTCTATTCATCCTCATTTGCTGGTCATTTTACTTCTTTAAAATTTGAGTCAGTCTTATTCTTGGTTTAATGATTTCGCCCCAGCTAGGCCTCTGTATGGGAGCTCTGGGAGCATGGTGCCTAAGGTACTTGACTGCTAACCAGAAGGCTGGTGGTTCAAACCCACCAGCTACTCCTCAGAAGGAAGATAGGGCAATCTACTTCTGTAGTGATACTGCCACGAAAACCCAAGGAGGGGTTGCGGCCGACTCAATGGCACACAACAACAGGTCTCTGTGTATCCTTTGATGCTCTGTGCAGAAACATATTACAGCTAAGGAGCTACTGACTCAGATTTAAATGTATCATGTGATTAAAACACATACTGCTGTAATAATATGGGATGAGTTTGATGTATTTAACAAATGCCCAAAACATACTTCTGCACTAATTGTCCCTGTCCTTTCACAATTGTAGGGGAAACCAGTCAACACCATAACATTGTTCAGAGCAGCAACAATTACATCCCTTCAGTTTTACTCTTGCAGGAGGAATGGAAACAAGTGGTTTCCATCTCTTTGTTAAATTTTCTGTTTGATTCTGACTGACTAGCTGCTTACCAGTATCGTTACTCTCACATTAGTAAGTAAAAACTTCTTTCTGCTGATGGCATCGATGTTTTGTGATTATTTTATACCTCAAGTTGTACCAACATCCCAGAATTGGACATTTTAAATGTATATGAAAATTAACTCATTTTTGTGAACATTGAACTCTAGGGATGTGAACTGTATGGCTAAGTTAGGCCATTTATGAGAATTTAAAATGTAGGGAGGTTGAATTAAGCTTTGGCACATACCTGATAACTTTTTCCGCTGCCTTTTGTATAAGTCTTTCTATTGTAAGCAGAAAAAGTTAAAGATTAAAAAAAAAAAAAAAAAAACCAGCAGATTTTATGGTATTTGAAACATTGTCTTAGTTTTCCAGTCTACACATCTGATCTTGTACCCCAAATAAGATCAAGTAAAAATGTCACTATTTCACCTTGAGGTACATTTCCAGGGAGTAAACTACTTCCAGAGAATAAATGGTCCACTTTGGAAAATGGCAGGCCTCTAAGCTGCCATTTCCTCCATTTTCGCTTCAAAATGTACTTTTTACCCAGTTCAAAAGTTACCCTTGAAATGGGGCTTGCTTTGAGAAGCATTTTAATGTCATCATTCCTATTCCTTTCCTGTAGGGAAGAAAGTAGGAGACTTTCCTGTAATTTTACAGAATTTGAAACAAAGACACCAAAACAATAGTGAGGATATTGCTCTTGTCAGCATTAGGTCCTCTGACTGTGGCACCTATAGTCTCCACACTTCAAAAACCTTCATTTCTTATATCTGAAAACTTGTAGCTGCCCACTTGGGACTGTGGACTCAGCTTTAGAACTATAGAAAGGAACCAGAAACCTCAAAGATTTTTAAACTCCTCCACATCCACAGGTCCAGAAAAGAGCCCTTGTGGCACAGTGGTTAAGTTCTCAGCTGCTAATCACAAGGTTAGTGGTTTGAACCTACTAGCTGCTCTGTAGAACAAAAGACCTTCCAATCTGCTCCTGTAAAGACTACAGCTTTGGAAACCCTATGGGGTCATTCTATTCTGTCCTGAGATGTTGCTTTAGGGTGCTGCTTGAAACCCTAAATACCTTTTTACCCTTTGGCCTTGGAAAAGTAGGATTCTGTTTATACATTAAATTCAATGAACACCTAAGGAACATCGTCAAGATATTCTGGAGTTGCTGAGGGAAATTCTCTATC